ACACACACACACACATGCACACACACACACATTCACATACACACACATTCTTGAAATAGGCTTAAGTTAAGTAGTATGTACTTCTTTCGAGCGTGATGTCAAGACGCCCCAAAACTGGTCCAACCGAAAGTATAAACCATGAGTCTGCGAACCAAGTCATGTTCTGAAAAGGAGATTAAGTGTTTACTTTTACCCCCATTAAGCCACTCAATATGTCTTGTACAGGCGAAAAACTGCTGGCTGACGCTTTCTGTATGAACCACTACTTCCTGAGACAAGGTTTGAATGGAACACCCACCTTACCGCCCACGGATTTCAAACGCCAGCAGAGCGAACTGTACAACCGGCTACATCCTCACCCGGTAAGAGAGTGACGTGAAACCAAAGAAGTTATTAACTAGCTCTGTTTATGACCTCTTTGCGTGTAGCTGTATCAGGGTTGTTTTTGTTTTGGTAAGTGTTTTACAAAGCTCGCAACTGCATGCGGTCACATGAGCGCGCGGGACACACCTAATACATTGTATTTTCAGTTGGTAGGAAATTTTTAATTTTGCCCAGGTGGCGGCTGAAGCTTACTTTTGTCGATTTTACACCACCAAGGGATCTTTAACGTACGCAACTTGCACACGGGCCCTCCGAGATATTTCGCCCTTGTCCTAGAAGGCTAGGGGTAAATCTTTCCTACTAGAAGATCAAGGGTGTGGCTGAAAGACAGCAGTAAGAAGCCAAGGAGTAGCAGTAGAATGGCTGCAGAAAGAGTCAGGTGCCCAGAGGAGGGGGTCAAATGAGGGGAGGGGGTGGTGCAGAAAGAGGAGACGAAAGCAGAAGACAGAACATTGCTAGAGAGCAGGAAAGGAGGTGAAAGGAGACAATTTTAGAGAATATTTTTCGGTCGCTTCCCAGATTAGAACCCGGGAGAGGCCAACACTTTAACCTCTAGGCCAAGATAGCCCCCTTATCAAGGTTGTCGGAGAAAAACTCCTGTCAGGTCCCACCCCTCACCCCAACTGTCTGTCTGTCTGTCTGTCTGTCTGTCTGTCTGTCTGTCTGTCTGTCTGTCTGTCTGTC